AAAAAAGGAACTGCGGTGCCATACCAGCAGAACTCTCGTCCACAGCCTACCTTCCTCATGAATTGCTAACAAAAGCCAATTAGGTCTTTAAAAACAATTAAAAATTTTTAAATTCTGGGACTGACATGTATTTTTAAATGTTGAATGAAGACCCCACTGGAAGATTGCAGGTAGCAGGTAGCATGATTTTGCTTCTTAGGCTTTTGTATCTTGCAGTTTCAATTCCCCCCAAGAACTCAAAGATAGCCATCGGAGTTACAGCCGGCCACACCGCTGAGCTGCAGCCCCTCAAGGACACGGGCGCAGGAGAGCGCAGGCGGAGCTCTCGGGTGGGCTGGGTAGGCCCTCGGGCCTCGGGCCTGGGTCCCCTGAGAAGCGGCCACCTTGGAAGGCCGAGACTCTCAGGGGTGAACAGCATGACGGGCAGAGGAGCCAGAGAGCACAGATCAGCACTTTGGCGATGGCTCCACAGGGTCCCGGCCGCAGCCTGACCAGAGCAGCAGGGGCTGCGACCTGGAGGGCGGCGAAGGCAAGGAGAAGCCAGGGCTGTCAGGGGCCCTGCCAGCCCTCATGGATCCCAGGGCCGCTCCCCTCCTCCGCGCTGCAGGGACGGCTCTGGCCGCTGCCTCCTTCCTCCTGTTCCAACAGCCGCGCACGCCGCCCCAGCGCCTGATGTAATTGTTGATAGAGGGAAATAATGGGCATCTCACGCGGGTTTTAATATGATCTTAAAATAGGGGGAAAGTTTTGTTATGACAGTGACACAGAGGCGATGATTTCGAGTAATGCAGGATGAAGATTAAATAAGAGCTATATAAAGGCTCGTCAGGATGAATTCTAATGCGCAAGGAGCACTTTGCATCCTGAAATATGCAAAATGTCTCCTGGCACCCTAGAATTCACCCTGACAGGCCTTCGCATAGCTCTTAAACTCCCACTTTATTTTTAGGGGACAGCTACTCAGAGCCCCTCCTGGAACAGAAGCCACAAAGGGCAGTGTTTATCGACTGGATTCTTTCGTGGGGAGGGGGAAGCAACACACTACAAAAAGCACTCAAAAGTGGAAGCTTGTTTAATATTGCTCTACCATCACCCTGAAAGGCATAATAATCTGAGTTACACATCTGAACTGATTGGAGTTACAGAATCATATCTCCCTTTGCATTTAACAATATATACAATATAAAATAAATACATTTACACAAACAGACATTTGCTGAACACACAGTATGGTACACATCACAAAAATATACAATTGATTGCTTTACAGATGTGAAGCCATCTACAGCTATAGACATGGTTTTATTATTATTATTTTTTTTTTCACTACTGGCTATAATGCAACTCCTGGATTATTATAAGCAGTTTAAATTTTTTTTTGTCCTTTTACGATCTTTGCACATAAGACTGCCATAAAATGTTTTCCTAGGCAGGTAAACAGAGACGCTTAAATAATTAAAATACAATCACCAACACCCATTTCCTCTTCTATAAGAAAAATAGCAGTTTTAAATTTTTTATATCTTTTATGTTATCATTTAAATGCAAAATAGTGGAATAAATACAACCATCTGATCTGATTGAAACACGGGTGTAACTACGAGGGGTCACACAATCATATTACTTTAAATAAGAATGAACCTAAAAGAAGCAAAATAGAAAGAAATCATATGGCTAAAACATACACCTTTATAACGCTCCAAAACTTCACATTAAGTAAATGGTCTTGCTTGAAACTTGGGGAAAAAAAAAAAAAAAACAAAAAACTTCCCTCGGGCGAGGGTTGAATATTCACCCTAAAGCCTGTGCAGTTTTATCTACATTTTAAGGTTGTTCTTTTCCTTTTCTATATATGAGATACTTGTTCTTTTGCAATGCGGATGTCACAAACTAAAATCTATGTCTCATTCTTTTAACAGGTCTCCTTTAGTGTAATACAGTGAAGACAATTGTAGATATTTTACTTATATATAGTGTAATTGAATAGTAGCAACTTAAACCCTGCACAAACTTTCTGGAAAATAACCTTTTAAACACTTACATATATAAATAATCTTATAGAATCAGCACCTTTTATTTATTTATTTTCCCAGGAGTTGTATTCTGCTGTTATTTTTAAAGGGATGTGCCAATTTCTGAACTCCTATCACAGCTATAAATTTCAAGTTATTGACCATCTGAATGAATTGCTAAGGATGATTTATCTAGAATCACACTACAGTCACTTCTCTACTGAGAAACCACAATCTACAATATAATCCCATATAGCTAATGATAGATACACAGTATTCCTAGCATTGGGCCGAAACTCCAACCCAAGGTATTTTGTTTAAAGCACACAAAGTAGCAATAGTTTTGGAAACAGAGTCCGCACCAAAAAGTTTTGCAACAACACAGAGCGAGTTAAGAACATCTGAGAGATGATTGAGTAAAAGCCATATGTACAGCATTTAAAAATTAGACTTATCTATATTCTTGAAATATTCAAAATTTGATTTCTAAGCTATACATTGGTATTCTATAATAAATCATTAGAGAAATTATCCCTTGTTTTGAAAATATTATTATGACTTTGATGTGTATCTCTTCCTCATGAATACTTGTTTGGAGTTTCAATGTCTTAATTATTATTAGGAAGGACTTTATTACCGGTAAGGAATAGAATATACTACTGTAGTCTCCTGAGGAATTGTACATCCAATATTGTCTCTAATTCTACCCTGTGTCTAAAAGCACACACCACAAGAACCCACACACCACAAGAACCCACAAGACGACAGTCTCTGAATGCAACATAAACTTCAGAAAAGCACAGCAAACATGAAACATTGAAGAGCTGAACTACATTTCTTTTGTTTGTTAGGATTACAATTTTAATTACATCTGTGTACATAGAATAAAGACTGTTCACACAGTACAGGGAGCAGCTACTAACACTGGTCCATTGGTATAGCGTCGGATGGGGGTTTCTGCTTATCGGTTATTAGGCGACTGTAGATTTCGGGGGTATCTAACTGATTTCTTCATTAGATTACACCTCTGAACAGTCTGGACCCTGACTTACTTTCATGCTGTGACAACACTGGTTGAAAAGCACATACATTGGCTTAGCTCTTGGTAAAAATTGCGGATCGATTGAAACAAACATTCCTAAATGAATAAACTCATATGGATTGGGTTTTAGAATTTGGTCAGGTATCTGCTGTCCTTCATGATTTTCTTTCTTTTTTTTTTTT